CTTTTTATTAAACAAGTAGTTTTTAAGGAAAGAACACAACCGACTTCAAATTTAGGGGTACCGTTAATTTCTTCATGATGCAATCATCGGATCTCTAAACCAAATTACGGGACGACCCTTGAGATACCATCTTTCCAATAAAAAAAGGATTATTGAAATCGGTTCACGTGGTCAAAAGTTATGTACTCCGGCGTATTGATAACCTCCTCTTTTTTTGAAGTCGGTTAAAAGTGTTTGAGTTCTGTTAATCTTATGTAAATAAAGTGCAGTTTATGGATTTCAAAACGTTTATTTATTTATTACATACTGTACATAAAACTTGCATAAATGTATTATCTGAAGCAAATTTTCAGTATTTTCCGGTGACATATATTCAGAAATATAAAACCCCTCCTAAAATATATTCCTGGGTGCGCCCCTGCTGGCAACCATGCTAAAAGCTAATAAATTCAAGAAATAAAGAAACCGAAATATTAAAGCTACGCTAGCGAAGTAATTTAAGGTTCCAACCCATCAAAAACTAATTAAGTACCAGCCATAATAAGTCTATAATAATTTTAACTATTTACTTCGTCTGAGCTTCCGAAAAATTGCATACATTTTCATAGAGCACCATTTATTAGCTGTTAAAAATAAAACAAAAAAATTTAGAGAAATCATTAGTATCAAGAACGAAGTAAGGAATATAGCAATTGCTTGAAAAAATCATTTAAAATTCATTGCAATGTGGGTGCATAAATATTCTATTCACCGAAGTGTAGAAAAAAGCACTTATGTATGTAGATATGTATGTATGTAAGTAGTATTAGCTGGGAAATTCGAAAATTATACTCTCGTAAAATTACAATACAACGATAAACATCTTACAAAATTTCACATGATACTTAAAAGTAAAAAAAACAATCGCATNAAATCCTAACCTCAAAAAAATCACCCGTTATTCACCGAAGTGTAGAAAAAAGCACTTATGTATGTAGATATGTATGTATGTAAGTAGTATTAGCTGGGAAATTCGAAAATCATACTCTCGTAAAATTACAATACAACGATAAACATCTTACAAAATTTCACATGATACTTAAAAGTAAAAAAAAAAACAATCGCAAGCGCGCTGCAGCACCCATTTAATGCAGGGTTTGAAAAACATAGACGAAACCCAGCAAATAAATGTACAGTATGTACATGAAAATTCTTATCGAAATGCGCTACGAAATTTTAGTAATATGTAATGCAACGCGAGCGGTTTTCAATTTCGATTTAACAAACAAATGCTCAAATGCGATCAATAAAGCAAAGGGGAAAGTATTAAATAATAATTTATGTTCTTTATGTGCATGGAAATTGAAAACCGTTGAGTTCTCGGCGGTG